TCCCGTCGTCGAGGTAAAACGCACTGGCGTAGCCCTTTGACGATGTAGAAATTTGATAATCGGTTTCGCTATCCTCGTGAATAGCCAGGGGCTGATGATATTCAATGGGAGTACTTTCCACTGGTAATGTAGCCCTTCTAGAGTAAATCGTAGGTATTTCCTGAATCGGGATGAATGGGGATGTGCAGGTAGGCATCCTGTAGATCTATGCTGCCCATGTAGTCCATAGGACGAATCATCTGGCGAACTGAGGTAAATGTATCATGCTAAACTTCGTGGTTTGCGAGATAGTTCTTGTTGAAAAGCTCATGTTGTAGATGAGTCTGTATTTCTCCGGGAGTTTTTCTTGGGAACTAGGAAAACTGGGGAGTAGAAACCTGGTTCGACGCTTGCTTGATCTATTACTTCTATGGCCTGTTTGGATAGGAGTGATGAAACAGCCTCTTTATCTTTGGTAGTTGTTGCGCTTTGTAAATCGAACTTGGGGGTTTGATTGTCAGCGGAGGCTTGGCCTGTAGAGGGATACGAAACCGTGTTGAAGAATGTTGGAGACGTAAGGGTCTTGCAATATTCCCCAGTTTTCCCAGTGTAGTTGGAGGCGCCCACCCACTTGAGCTGGCTGTACTGGAACGGCTGGGGTGGAAGACTCCAGTCGCTCCAAACCTGTGTTTCAGCTGCCTATAATTGCGGGAACCTCTGGGTGTCCTGCCTCTTCCTGATCCTCCTCTATAGTTGCCATATGGGCTTAATTTAAAAGAATCTTTACCTCTAGAGCTGGCTATCTTCCTGTCTCTTGCTCTTTGTAGGCCCGTGAACTTAGATCTGCCTGAGTATCTTTGTGAAGTCTGACGAATGACGCTGGCTAGTGTGTCCATCGATCTAATCATAAGGACTTCCCTGGAATCCTTAGAGACTTCCTTGGCGACTTTTGTCGATTTCTCCGCCAAAGATGGATGTTGTCGACCACGGGCTGTATAAAGTGGGCTGTAAAGTTCTCCCCCAATTACAGGAGGCGAGGAGGCCTTGACGACGAGCTAAGGTCAGTGCTGCTGAAACAGATGTAAGATGATCCGCTAAAAACTGCTGATCTTTCTTTGCATAAGTAAGGCAGAATAAATCATTCTATCATCTTCCGTCCGTGGAATCCCGGAATCTAGTAATAAGAGTCTCATTGATCGCCCCTAGATCTATTTAACCCAAAGAACATACGCCTCGCCATGGTTTCTATATGAGCCAACTTATGCATCATCCATCTTGTAAATCTTGTTCTTTACATCGCTGATGATCTTATAGTTCTCATCGATGTCCTGGGCCTTGTAGAAGGAGTCCATGTTATGCGTGGAGAACTTCTTGGCTTGAAAGTTGGGCAGATGTGGTGTCTGAACTTTCGTGAGCTTTCTGGAAAGCTGCATCTAGATTCTGTGGCACTGCCGCAATCGGGTCGATCGGGGTAGAGTGATTGCATCTGATCATCTTCCTTCATCAAATACGCCTGCTTGTATTGCCACTTTTAGATGGTGATGTGAGATCTAGGTTATTGACCATCCAATACCGTGATTCTGCATCAGAAAATATGATTCCTCCATCATCCTCAAAACCATCATCATTAACAAATTGTAGATGCTCTTCGACCGCGCGTAGCTGTCTGTATATCTGATGAGGTTTGTGGCGATCTAGTTGACTTGTGCGCCGCTTCTATGTGGAGATCTGACGGGTGATCGACCTGGTGATGAACGGCGGGAGATCGCCTATGGATGATCTTCTCGAGACTTGTGAGGTGAATGTTGATAGCTTCGCTGGCTCTTCGGCAGTCCCTCGATGTTCTTCTAGATGATGAGGATCTGAATCATATGTCCTTCGCTAATGCCTTCGCCGCTTCATTTGCGTCCCGTCCGGGATCGATGATATGACCTTCGCCAAGGCCTCCGCGATGTCTGATGGTCTGAGTCCATATCTAGAGATGAAATCGAAGATGGTGATGATCTCTCCCCCGCTGGGCCTTCGGCCGGCTGGCTGTACATCTAGGTCCTTCGGCCAAGGTGGTGCGGGGACTTCCTTCGCTAAGGTGACATCGCCTTGGCTGCTACGCTGACGGGGTGCCTCTGGGGTGCTGTTCACGCTGGAGCCTTCGCTGGTTCGGACTTCGCTTGGCGCAGTTTGTAGTGGTCCTCCATGATGTTCATAATCTGCCGCATCATGTCTTCTGGGATGATCTCAGACGGTCGCCGGGCGCCTTTTCTGCGATGGGGTTCACATCAATGACGCCTGACGCCGGTGTAGAGGCATCAGGCTGCATGGTGATCTCTGCAGAAGTCACAGTCGCTGACACCGGGTCGCTTCTTCTGCCGTAAGTCGGGATGATTATCGGCTGATCATCGAGAGGCCCAATTCTGCTGCTGGAACGATCTCGGGCTGAGAAAGTTCTTGCTGTCTTCGTGATTTCCCTTTGGAAGTCTGGCGCTGCCCTGGGTGTCCTCAATCTGCGCTGAGACGACGATGAGGCCCTCTTTAGACTTGGTCTGCAATGACGGGATGTCTGGGGAGGCCGGTCGCTTCTTCGAGGTAACGGATCATGGCCCCACGCCTCTCTACCGAAGGGGTCTCTAGCAGAACACCAGACGGGAGAGGGTCGATCGCTAGCAGCTGACTGGATGGAATATCTGGACTCTCTGCCATGTTTTGCCCTTTTTGTTTGATCTATCTGCAGCACGCCTTAAGACGCAAAGATGATATTTATTAAATGCAGAATGAGATAAATTAATGCAGTAACTGCAACGTGGAATTAAACGCACACGGCGAGAACAACTAGGGCATATTACATGTGGATCGGAGGCAGAAAAACGTAATCTACAAATCGCATAGATTTTCATCAACGTAAAGCTAGCTGAACAATCACTTAATACACGTGAATAAACAGTAGAAATAATGATAATTAATCAATACAAATAGTAAAGGATACTAGCTATACCTCTATAGTAACCTATGAGAGGTAAAACTAAAAGAGATTATCAAAGGATATGGTGTGTAAGGAGACACGAGGCTTCTCACATCCTGCTCACTGGGCGAAGAAGGAGAGAGTGGAGCACATGGCCAGAGGGTGGCGACACCTTTCCCGCCAGGGGAAACAAAGGGGAGCAACTCGTGGTGAGTACCAATTAGTGATTTTATTTTGAAGGGAGCTTCAAATAAGGAGATACAAGTGTTCCACTATGTTCGCAAGAAGAAGAAGACAAGCAAAAGAGCATGAGTCAGGATAAGGAAAAATTATGTTTTTCTGCAGTTTGTGAATTTTCCGTTTGTGTCAGCAGCATTGAATCAATGCCAAATTAATCTCAGGTTGGAACCCCGGCCTTTAACCGCACCACAGTAATTTTTTAAAGGTTGGGTTGAGTTGAGTTGGGCTTTACGTCGCTTTATTCCAGCCAGCCATATAGTGATAAGAACAAGTCTGCATTAGTACACATGGTAAGTACAGAGTCAAAATGAGTTTTATTTAAAAACATCTATTCATTACGCTTGTCATTTAAAAACAGAAAAAGTCATAGCACTAAATTTAAAAGCAGGCAGTTTGTTAGTCACATCACACAGTTGCAATTTATAATACAGATAAACTTCCCTCAGGTGGTTCACTATCAGATGATAGCCACGCTGGAGAACATATATCTCCTATAAAGAGACTACCACTGCAAAGCGTGGTCCACGTGCAGATATGGGAGACGATGTCAATTTCAACAGCAGATGTAATTGACAATGACAAGGAGCTGTCAAATCTGAGTTGGAACGTCATCCAATGCCCAAAGAAATAGCGTTACATCGGCATTATCCTTCACAAGTGCAGTATTTGCACATACGTGTATCGCGCAGATAGTTAGGATCACGGCGATTCCAGAACACTAATCGTTTGGACCGTAGGCCCAAGGACGGCGGAGCTACAGACAGTTAAAGAAAGAACTATACCTTCTGTGGGAACTACTTAAAAGGTACATGACCCCCGCGACCCGGCTGCATTTCACCGATCCGCTCTCGTGTCAAAAACGTGTTCTGCCTGGGTTTTGAACGCTTTCTAGCCCTTAAATACTCTTCAAACACCCGTAACTCCGAGAGTTAAAATTGACGGTCCAGCTGGCGTCCAAAGAAACGGTACAAGTAAAGGTAGCCACGGGGGGTGTATGGGGGAAGTCTGAAGACCGTCAGTATTGCCCTTGAGGCAATCCTAGTTATGTAATATTCTCGTAATGGTGTCTCGTCGTTGATGGAACATACTTACCGGGTACTCTGGTCTCTGTTGGCCGCGACCCATCGCGGGGGGTCGGCCTATCCATGAGAGATATGATTTTGACACTGATTTTGAGGGTCAAGTTTGGGGGTCGGCTTATCCATGGGGTCGGCTTATAGACGGTCATATACGGTACCAAGATGGCTATTAGTGAACGGTTATCAGTGAAGGGTTAACAAACCATGACTGGTATTCTATCTGCATTGCACATTTTATTTGCGTTTAGAATTATTCTAGATTCTTTTAATCACGAATATTTAGAGATGGAAAAACTTTAAGTTTGATTGGCTTGAATTGATACGATATGCAACATGATGTTCGTGTATTGGGTAAATACGCTTTGTTATTTTGACATAGCGTAAACGTAACTGTTTAGTGTTTTTTTCATACGTTTGCATTTATTTTTCTTGCATATTTCATCTTTTCTGTAGCGTATTATACGCAAATATGCAGCTTATCTGGAGCTCTGGACTATCAAATGCATCAGGTGTGCTCAGACTGCTATCTGGGCTGATAATTATTCTTGTTTGTAACATTGATTACTTTTATGTAATTTTAAAAACAGCAGGCAAGGACAATAATGCCAACTTCACTTAAAAAAACATACATTTCAGACTTGTTTTATTCCAACTTTTTATCTTAAAGAGTTGGATCTGTAAAGGAACGTACACAGAACTAATGGCTTAATACTGTGACACTTCTCCTACTGTGGTCGTGAACTCACCGCAGACAGCGCCAGGATCTGCTCCTTCATCACTTCCTCCTCGTTGTAGCCGATCCACGGCGGCACAGAGGCATCCTGCTGCTTCGTCATGTCCTTCTTCTCCGACACAAACTTGTCCTGCTCCTTCACAAAGTCACCAATCATCGTCTGCAGATAACGGAAAGCAGAGCATCTTTAAGAGGAGTATTGGGTATACAGTTGGGTAATCAATGCAATTGCCTCAAGCCAACTTCTCAGGCAACTGATTCTGAGTGAGTGAGTGAGTGAGTGAGTGAGTGAGTGAGTGAGTGAGTGAGTGAGTGAGTGAGTGAGTGAGTGAGTGAGTGAGTGAGTGAGTGAGTGAGTGAGTGAGTGAGTGAGTGAGTGAGTGAGTGAGTGAGTGAGAGAGAGAGAGAGAGAGAGAGAGCGAGCGTGCGTGCGTGCGTGTATGGTTTTGCATCGATTTTAGCAATAATCCAACAATATCAAGTTGGGCAATACCAGAACTTGACTTCACACATCGTATTGAACCCGCCATCAAACAAAGGTCTTAAATGTGATGAGTGAACAATTTAACCACACCACACTAATTCTGTTTGAAATATAATGTGTTTATGTTTTGTGTGGCTTACCTCTGTAATGAGTGTGTGAGTGAGTTTAGTTTTATGCCACACTCAGCAATATTCCAGCTATATGGCGGCGGTCTGTAAATAATCGAGTCTGGACCAGACAATCCACTGATCAACAGCATGAGCATCGATCTGTGCAATTGGGAACTGATGACACGTGTCAACCAAGCCAGCGAGCCTGACCACCCGATCCCGTTAGTCGCCTCTTATGACAAGCATTGGCTACTGAAGGTTCATTCTAATCTGGACCTTCATGGGTTACCTCTGTAATGAATAAAAGAGGCTGCTTTGGCGGCACATTACTAAGAGATCATGAGCATGGATAGTCAACACACAAATACATACAACATTACTTTTGTTGTTGAGACAAGAAGAATTATACGGAATATTTTGCAATAGCAAAGGAGTTATGACATTTGACACATGCAACAAAAGTGAGCTGTTGAAAGATGAATAAATGTACTTGGCTCGACCATACCTTTTCTTCCACCGTTGTTTTGAGTTTATTTGCTGTATCTGCCACCGTTTTTCCTGCAGCCTTGCCGAAGCTGAACAGGAAGCCTGTCAAACAGAGACACTGTAATAAGTACTAGCTACATAGTCAATTTGTAGACACAGTACAGCGTGGGGAGTGCAAGTTGGTAATGACAACATTAGTATATTTACAGTATGTCATACTACAAGTGAGTAAGTGAGTGAGTGAGTGAGTTTGGTTTTACACAGCTTTTAGCATAATCCAGCAATATCACAGTTGGGGACACAAGGAATGGGCTTCACACAGCAGAATCCAGCTTGATATTATTCAGAGAGTTGATGAAGATAAAAACCTTTCCAGATGTCAAGTGGTCTTGCATATCCTATTTTATTACCCACGTGGTCAACGTATGGGTAGTTGCATACTGATCTCGTTTGTCACACGAGTGTCGTATCACGTTGACCTGTGTCATAATACATACATACATACATACATACATACAAATATTTATATAGCGCTAGTTTCTGGCATCTGCCACTCAAAAGCGCTGGAAATGAGTCTGGAACGACATTGGTCAAGTTCGGTAGGCAGCACTGAACAAATGAGTTTTCAGTTGTGACTTAAATGCTGGTAGATTCTCTTGCGATCTCAGGTGCATAGGTAGACTGTTCCACATTACTGGACCAGCTTTTGCGAATGAACGGTCGCCAAATGTCTTTGTTCGGGTGGTTGGTACCTCCAAGAAATACTGGGAACCAGACCGTAAGGATCTGGGAGGGTAGTGTCTTTTAAGAAGATTTGAAAGGTAGCTGGGGGCAAGTCCATTCACACACTTGAACACTAACAACAGTATTTTGTACTGGATCCTGTATCTGACTGGCAACCAGTGTAGACGGTGGAGTACAGGGGTGATGTGGTCGTATTTCTGGTGACGACGGGTTATCACCCTCGCTGCAGTGTTCTGCACACGCTGAAGTTTTCCAAGTAGATGCTCAGATGTTCCAAACAGCAGCGAGTTGCAGTAATCAAGTTTCGACGTGATGAAGGCTTGGATAAGAGCTGAGGTGGTCTTGACATCGAGATACCTCCTGATCATGCTGATATTGTGAATATGGAAGTACGCACGCTTGCAGACGCTATTGATATGCGATTCCATGTTCAGGCACGAGTCGAATATCACACCCAGATTCCGGGCTTCCTTGCTTACAGAGATCGCACTATCACCAATGCAGAACTCTGGAAGGGAGAGAGAATTTTTACTTCGTTTGGAACAGAATACTAGAAGCTCTGTTTTTTCCTCATTCAGTTTCAGGAAGTTAGAAGTCATCCATGTCTTGATGCTACCGACACACTGCTGAACTGACTCAAATGTGAGATCGACTGATGACTTGTCCAGTGGTTTAAATGCCATGTAAACCTGTGTGTCATCAGCATACAAGTGCAGGCCCAGCTTGTACTGACTGACTGACTGAGTTTAGTTTTACGCCGCTTTTAGCAATATTCCAGCAATATCACAGCGGGGGACACCAGAAATGGGCTTAACACATTGTGCCCATGTGGGGAATCGAACCTGGGTCTTCGGCGTGACGAGCCAACGCCTTACCACTAGGCTACCCCACCGCCCCGCCCAGCTTGTAAGATCTCACAATAGCACCAAGAGAGGAAGTGTAGATTGAGGACCTAGTATGGATCCCTGTGGGACACCATATGTAAGGTTCTTGGCACTTGACATCTCTCCATCTATCATGACGGTCTGTTGTCTGCCAGATACGTAAGATTCGAACCATTTCAATGCAACTCCACTGATGCCAAACATACCTTCCAAAGTTGAAAGGAGTATCTTGTGGTCGATGGTATCGAAAGCAGCTGATAGATCTAGTAGCACTAGAATAGCAGCCCCATCTTGATCTATTCCCATGAGAAGATCATTCTGAACCTTCGTCAATGCTGTTTCTGTGCTGTGAAAGTTACGATAAGCAGATTGAAATTCTTCCTGGCAATCACTTAGGGAAAGGTGATACTTGAATCGTGTAACAACTGCACGCTCTATCAGCTTTGAGACAAATGTCAGATTCGATACCGGTCTATAGTTTTTAAGTTGTTCAGGATCTAAGCTTTCTTGAGGAGAGGGGTGATAGCTGCACGCTTCAGCTGCTCTGGCATAACACCTTCACGTAGAGATGGATTGACAATATGTGTCAGCATGGGCAACGACGAGTCCAAAGTGACTTGACCTGAGATTCTAACGATTTGATTGGATAACCAATGACCTCTCAATTAGGTCACATTCTGACGTAACTATTTTTTCATTCATAACAAACACGCGAATTCATTCATTCTACAACTTAAATGCATTGTGGGAATGTAAACATTGCGAACGTTGCCGTGTTGCTGTTTAATTGTGAGTCGAACTGAGACATTATATCTGTCGAAAAACATAAGCGCAATGTTTCCACCAGTGATGTTAGCCGAATGAAGCAACTGCAAACCAAGAAACCCGGTGCTACGGAGTAGTTTACTGTAGGAGGTTGTACGAGGCGATGACAACTGACATGCATTGTGACGTCGGTTACCAAGACAGTGATGTCATTACAGTGTGACGTCATGCAAATATTGTACTACAGTACAAAACTCTTCCGCAACCTCCTTATGAAACCGGTTTCGGTTTGAAACCAAAATATGAACAAAAATACGCTATTTTGTCAATTTAATGCATGTAAGACATGGGTAATAAATAAAATACCACACTCGGTCTCATTACATTTTTATGAATTATACGAACTTCGTGACCTTCCTATGTTATCTGACCTCGCTTTCGCTCGGTCAGATACCATAGGAAGGACACTCGTTTCGTATAATTCGTATGTAATGGGACCGAGTGTAGTATTCTCTATATGCACTGTATACTAACTAAATTCAGTACTTACATGATATCATTAAAATCCGAACATAATAAGACACAAGAAAGTGCCACTTTTTATTTTCAGGTCCACATTGCCTCCATTCCCTTCACAAATATTGGCAATGGTCAAAACCCAAATTTTATTCCCCATTCCCGGGTTCGATTCCCTACAAGTTTAATCAATCCCTTCAATCAAGCTCTGGAAAGGCCTTAGGTCAAAATACATGATGTGCCAAGAGCATCGGATCATTTTATAAATAGATACACTTTACGTTTAAGTACATTTCTTATCTAGTAAGCATACTTGAACATTTTAAACACATAATGTGATCGAGTTTAATTTGACTCTGAATGCTCTTTTAAGCATTGACAAATAAAATGTAAACTAATACAGATTTCTTTAGATTGTCTAGGTTGCACATAAGCTTTGAGATTTTGGAATTTTTAGGTGTCTCCCAGTATTAGCGAGTGAGCGAATGAGTTGAGTTTTACTCCGCTTTTAAGCAATATTCCAGCAATATCACTGCAGGGGACACCAGAAATAGGCTTCACACATTGTACCTATGTGGGGAATCGAACCTGGGTCTTCGGCGTGACGAGCGACCACTTCAACTACTAGGCTACCCCATTGCCCCCAACCAGTATTAATAAAAAGCAACATCCAACTCCAACATGAGAAAAATTGGAAGCAAATTTATACCAGTTTGAATCTAATAAATATTTCTCTCCTCAAAGAAACCAAACTGTACATCTAACATCTTGTTTATAACTAAGGCCTGTGCTATGAAGAAAATGTTCACCATAACTTGTCCATTTGTAGGCATCTACTTAATCAAGCTAGTATTTAATGCATTATAAATCTAATGAACTGTTTACAACCACTGATTATCATCCACAGTCCATAAAAACCATAACACTGAGAGTGATATTACCAACATAAAGTTTACCTGTAGGATAAATAATCATGACTTTGAGGACCAGACTGAATTTTAAAAATAAAGCTCACAGCCACTAGTGACTATTTAAGACCTCAGATAGTTTTGAAAGATTCAGTCATAATTAGAGTCGACTAACGGGATCGGGTGACCATGTTCGCTGACTAGGTTGACACATGTCATTGTATCCCAATTGTGTAGATCCATGCTCATGCTGTTGATCACTGGATTGTCTGGTTCAGACTCGATTATTTACAGACTGCCGCCATATAGCTGGAATATTGGTGAGTGCGGTGGAAAACTAAACTCACTCACTTGAAAGACACCAGTTCCAATGGTGTCCCTAAGGTATGGCACATGCCCTGGGTGCCACTTGAAGTTGAAGGGCTAGGGGCACCACTGAACACTTTTTTTTAAGTCAGGTAAGCTATTTTTCAGTTGTAGGATCTGTGTTTGATCATCATAGGCAAGAAGCATGCATTTATATAAACTATTATGTGAAGATGCAGAGATTGCCATGGGTCCTACAGATACCACTGCAGGACTGGCCATTCATATCAAGCTCACTGCCTAGGACTGACTGTGTTTGGCTTGACACCACTTTTACTATAAAGTTTTAGCAATATTCAAATATCATGGCGGGGACACTGGAAACGGGCTTCACACATTGTACCCATATGGGGAATCGAACCTGGGTCTTCGGTGTGACGAGCGGACGCTTTAACCACTAGGCTACCCCACCGCCCCTACTGGAGCTACAACAAATCCACTAGAAGTCAGTGAGTATGGTTTTACACCGCTTTTAGCAATATTCCAGCAATATCACGGTGGGGACACCAGAAATGGGCTTTACACATTGTACCCATGTGGGGAATCGAAACCGGGTCTTCCATGTGATGTCTTAACCATTTGGCCAACCCACCGCCCCCACACTACATGCAACTGAGGTTGGAAAATACAATCCAGTGAATAAAGTAATGAGCAGCCATTCTAAGTTGGTTTTAACATCACACATCGTACTGTGGCCTTGTTCTCACCCAGAACCATTGAGTGAGTAAGTATGGTTTTACACGGATTTTAGCAATAATCCAGCAATATCACAGTGGGGGACACAAGGAATGGGCTTCGCACAGTAGAATCCAAGCTTGATATTATTCAGAGAGTTGATTAAGACAAAAACCTTTCCAGATGTCAACTGGTCTTGCATATCCTATTATACACTGTATACTAACTAAATTCAGTACTTAAA